TGAACGAATTAGAAGAAGAAAATGTTCAATTACGTGCGGCGAAACAAAAAGTCGACTCGGAAAATTCCAGATTTGCGAATTTGGAGCAGACAATAACGAATTTGAAAGCAACAGTAACTTTTTTTTTGAATTATGGAAAATTTATTTTTGGTCATATGGTGGTATTAAGCTCGATGAGAAGACTCGTGATTCGTGCAATATGGTACATGAGATAGAAGCTCTTACCGCGTCGCTAATTTCTGCACAAAGTGAGATTGATGAGTTACGAAGAGCTCGTACACCCCTCTCCCCGGAGAAGAGTTTGATTGTTGAACCGTCCAATAAGGAAGAGTTGGTATGTACTATTCTTCTTTCACTTAAAATAATCGCTCACTTCCGCATTATCCAGTGAATTTTGTTGGAACACTTCCTCGCAATGGCATATCAATATGCATACATCTCCGGCTGCTGGATAAATTATTTTTGCTGATTTACTGAAAGTCATTCTATAGTTTTGGAACAACATCCATCCTTAGTCCAATTATATTCTATAATCCTATCTTTAAGCTGGAAGTTAACAAGTAGGAGGTGTTGCGTGAGGTTTCTATCAAGATCTTTCGTCTTTGAATGAAGATTTCATCCTATTAAGTGAAAATTTACGCCAAAAAGTAGCGAATTTCATAAAATCTCTGATGCCAAGCCTCCTAATATCATTGTTATTTAAAGCTCTATCCATTTCATGAAGCAAAAAATTAAATCGGTTCAATTTGCAGATCCGTCTTCAAGAAGAAAAGGACGATGCCTTGTTTGCACTGCAACAAGCCAATCAACGTATCAGCGATCTGGAGTCTGAGCGAGAAGATCTCACTGAACGTGCCGAAGCTGCGAATGCCGAAGCGCGGGATATGGCCAGGCATTCAAAAGTACTTTAGTTTTGACTTGTTTATATTGTCTGCTAACCTTTCTTACTTTTTTCAAGGAACTTCGTGAACAAGTGCATGAGTTAGAGGCAGAACTTGCAACGTCTCGTAGTAACGTTGGTGTCGCAAATCGTGGTAATTCGATGTTTGCTGAGGTACACGTAATTCAAAACTCCCATTTTCTCTCAGACTTTTGTTTTATAGTTTGCCGAGGAGCGCTTGAAACTGGAAGCAGACATGAAGTCGTTGTACGCGAAATACGAAGCTGTCCGAAAGCAGAATTACCAACTCTCAAACGAACTTGACGAAGCCCGTTTGCTAGCTTTGCGGCGGACTAGAAGCGAGGTCAGCTGAGAGCTTTCGATAATTTTCTAATTATTGAAAATCAGTTTCCTAGCTCAGCCAGTAAGAAAGCTGGATTTTTCCCCCTTTTTTACGTTTGCAGGCAGCAGGCAGATGTCGTTGCCACGAATTAGCTCCTGAGCTGCGTCAACTCAGAGAAAGAGTGCAGACGTTAGAAGATC